ATGGTGAGGTATAGGTCAGTGTTTGAAACCTCTTGAGATGGAGCATCTTGCGACATAGCCCAGCCTTTATTTGAAGTTCCCAAGGGCCACACCTTAAAACTAAGGGAAAACTGAGGAAAAAACCTTAAAACGAACCAGTTGCGGCATGGAAGTGGTCTGACTGCACTCTCTGTGCCTGCAGAGAATATTTATACTCTGTTAGGAAGAGGATCTGAGCCTTTAATGTCTGGAATCCAATGAAAAATTAAAAGGCCTACTAGAAATGAAGTCAGATGACCAACATGAAGAGAAAACACAGATAGCAGAAAGAGACCCACAGGTGATTTAGATGTTGTATTTATCAGTCAGGCACTATGTTCAATAAAACAGAAGAATTTCAACAAAGATATGAAATCTACTTTTAAAAAAGACAAATGGAAAATCTGAAACTGAAAGATATAGACTCAGAAATGAAGAATTCAATATGTGATTTAATAGTTTAGATACACTCTCTCAGCTTAGAGGGTTACTGAACTGGGGGAAAAATAGCAGAGAAATTGAAGCACAGAGGGAAAAAGTACAGAAAAGACAATAGGAGACACATGGGGCATGGTGAAACCATTTCACATCTGCGTGTACTTGGAATCCTAGAAGAAGAAAGTGTGACCTAACCATTGTTTAAAGAAATACAGACCAAGAGTTTTCCAAAACAGTACAGGCCTCAAAGCACGGGTTAAAGAAGTTCCGTACTGGAACTTAGTGGGATGTGGTCAGAGGGCCATGTAGTGCACATCGTAGTTAAACTGGTATGAGCCAAAGACAGAGAAATGATAAAATGCAGTCAGAAATTAAAACATTTTATTTCTAAAAGATCAACAATGGCACTGACAGCTGATTTATTAGCTGATTTATAGTTGGATGAAGGCAGAAGAGAGTGGAATTTTATTTTGATATGCAGAGACAGTGGAATTTTATTTTGATGTGTGGAAGAAAGATTGTTGCTGACCTAGAATTCTCTACCCAGCAGAAATATCCTTCAAAAATGAATGGAGACCCAGGGGTGAGGTGGGAGGGGAGGAACTTTCAAACAAATGAACACAGAGAACATTGCTGTCACTGGACAGCAAATAGCAAAGTTCTTTATGTAGCAGGGAGATCATTTGAGATGAAAGTTCAGATGTGAGTGAAGGAATGAAGAGTATCAGAAAGGGCAACTGTGGCAAATAAAAACGAGAATCTGTGGTTAAAATCTGTGGTTAATGGTATCTTTTATGGGGTTAAAAGTATGTTGAAAAAATATGTGAGTAGCACAACAGACAGCAGAGGACAAATGAAGGTTCTTGCTTGATTTGATAAGTTGTTAAATGACTGATTTGAAGGGTAATCTATACGTCAGTGCTGTTAAATTGCTAGGAGGGAGAACAGAATAACCAGCAAGCCAATGAATATACAACAGCTATAAAATTTGACTAATTCCAAAGGCCAGAAAGGAACCATGAAGAGGTGAAGCAGATAGAGTGATCATATGCTTCAGCTCTGCCACATTACACTTGAAAGTATAAATGGACTGTATGTAAAATTGGAAGCCAAAGATTTTTGGATGGGATCCAATGTTAAATATTCAAATCCATTTCTGTGTTATTTACAAGAGACAATCTTGTGATAAGCTTTTAAGGCACAAATTTGAAAGTAAGGGTATGAGGAGTAAACACACAGGTATACACACATATACACACAGAAGATGGAAAAAATCAGTATAAGGATGTAGATTATTTAGACAACACTAATAACTTGTCCTACTTGGAACAGAGAGAGAACATTTTACCCATCAGCTGCAGAATACACATTATTTTAAAATGGGCACTGAGCATTTACAAAAATAAGCAAGGTGCTGGGTCATGAATCAAGTTTAAATAAATTGCAAAGTATTGAAATAACACGTATGCTCTCTAACCACAGTGCAATCTAAGTAGAAATTAGTAACAAAAATATACAAATGAAAAATCCCTAAATGTTTGGAACTTAAACACTGTGCTTGTAATTGACCCATGGGTCAAATAAGCATCACAATGGAAATTAGATTTTTTTACATAAATTATAATAAAAATGACATGTAAATTCACAGGATGCATTTTAAAATAGTGCATAGAAGTAAATTTATAGCTTTACATGCATATATTAGCAATGAAGGAAGATGGAAATCAGTTATCTAAACTTCAGTTTCAAGAAGCTAAATGTAAGGCTAATTAAATTAAAGTCCCTCAAAATAGAAGGAAATAATAATGATAAAGGCGGAAATGAACAAAAAAGAAGCATGTGATAAAGAAAATCAGCAAAACCACAAGTTAGTTTTTTGAAAAGATTATTAAAATTAGTAAACCTCTAAAGATTGATCAAATAAAAGAGAAAGCATAGATTATCAACACCAGGAATGTAAAGAGGTGTACTGCTATATTCTATAGGCATTTAACGATGTTAATACACACTTTCAGTTCAGTAAGTTTAACAATTTTGATGAAATGAGCATATTCCCTAAAAATAACTACTCACGAAAACTACTTACAAAACTTTCCTATGTCTGTGGAGGAAAGTCCATATTTAAAACCTCACACCAAAAATCACCTGTACTGGATGGCTTTTTGGTGAATTCTTCTTAACCTTTTGAGAAAGAAATAATGCCAATCTTGCATAAAATTTCTCAAAGAACAGAAGATGGAAAACTTAACCTTGGTACCAAAAACTGAATTAAATATTACAAGCCGAATTAAATACTGCATTTGTGTGAGATTCAGTAGTGTGCACATAAAAATCACAGGAACGATTACTTGTAGCAGGGTGAGATGTGACAGGGAAGCAGCATAGGAAATCTCCCAGGGTGCTGGAATGTTCTGTGTCTTCGGATATTAATTACAAGAGTATGTATACGTTAGTATATACTTAAGATCTGCGCACTTATGTATCATATATATTTATATCAAAGAACTATAAACTTACTCTGGTATAACACATCGATATTTTCATCCTCACATAGTTTCTCTTATGTCTAAATTGAATCCAGTGTGCATTTCCTCAAACAGCAGGGGGCATTTGCTATAGGCTCCTTGTTCTTTGGGAATAAAGCAATTACCCAGACCCAGAGCTGCCTGTGACAGAGCACCTAGCTCTTCCAGTCTCTCACTGAATAAGTGCTGTTTTCTTTGCAGGCACGATGGTTCTGGGAAGCATACTTCCAGTCAATTAAAGCCATTGCAATGGCCACCCTGCAGATTATCAATGACCGGATCTACCCATATGCCGCCATCTCCTATGAAGAATGGAATGACCCTCCCACCGTGGTAAGTGAATTCCAGTCTGAGCCATGTCAGGCATGGCCCAGCTGTTAGGATGGAAGAAAGGAAAATGTACTGAAGTTGTAAGGTCATTTGAATTCTAGCTTTGTAAGAGCGAGTGTGCTGTTTATACATGGGGGCCCCCGTAAGGCCAGCTTCAATTTGCAATGATGACGAAAGTGAGAAATACGGAGGCAAGCAGATTCTAGCTTGTTTTAAATGTGCTTAGGGAAGACAGTATGTTTGTTTATTGCAGAGATAAATGGTGAGGTCTGGGTCTTGTTGGAAATCAGACTTCCTGATGACTTTTGCAGTTGTAATGCTTACAACTCTCGGAGAGGCTCTGTAAACAACTTAATAATAATAGCTCGTATTTTGAGTGCTTACTCTCTACCAGGGACTGTGCTAAGTGTTTTCTGCAGACAATTTCATTTAGCATATCCATCACCCACTGAGGAGAATAATCAGCAGAGTTGATGTAGAGGTATCACCCGTGGCCACCATCACTTGCTCAAGGCTACAGCTGAGGCCCTTGGGTGTTTCCAGTAGAGAAATGGGGTGATCAGAAGCTGCTCTCTGCTTCTTTGCCCAAAGGTGTCACAGGCAGCAGCACATGGGAGGTAGCAGCTCACAGGAGGCAGTGGCCACACCTTCTTTCTCCAGATAAGGCCTGAAGCTCTGGGGGCCGCCCAGCCATAATGCCTCCTGGCTGCTCTGGAGCGTGTCGGGTCTCCAGCTCATAGACTGAAGGCTTTCACAGGGAGAGAACTGCCAGATAGATGCTTCTCTGTTCTCATCCTATTCCTCACTCGCCTCATCGCTGGATTCTACCTTCTGTGCATACTGCTGTGTACTGCCACCATCTTCATGTCGGACCCTCCCTTTCTCCCTCTTTTTCTTCAACGTTTAATTAGTGGCTACTGTGTGTCAGGCACTCCATTCTGGGCTGAGGATGCAGAAAAAGAAGACATGTCCCTCAGAGGGACTCTTCTCTAACTTGGGAAGCCAGTAAGGAAGGAAAACAACCATGGGGTAAGAAGTCCTGTAATAGAGGGGTGTAGAGACCTCAGGGGGCAGCTCCTTGCTGGGAGGCAGCAGCACACTTCCTGAGAAGGGGAGCCCAGGAGGAAGTACAGCTATGTGCACGTGGTAAATCAAACAAAACAACCATAAATGCCTTCTGTTTTGCTCCAGGTCAAATAATATTTTAGGTATTCTGATCTCCATTCTTTCAATAGCCCTGAATACTGGAATTTTTGCTCCTCTTCAATCTAAAAAATGATCTCACGTGTATACATTTTTCAAGTGGAAGTTTCCCCCAGCACACGCGCCCTGTGTATGCGCCATGCTTTTCCCTCTCTGTGCCTTCACTGGTCCTCGCTCTGAGATATTTTCCTTCTTCGTCACTTCCAGGGTCCACACTTTACCCAAATTGCAGTGGCATGAGGTTCTCTTAGACCCCCCTAAGCAGAAAGTAATCTGCCTTCATAACTCTTAGAGCTTTTTTATTTGGATTTTTTTTCTATCACTGAACATGCATAAAAGTATTATTTCCTATCAAATTTTTAGCATCTTAAAGGAATTTCTGAATTTTGTTGGTATTCTGTGTAATACCTGGTGTTAGTGGGAAGAAGGAGGGGCACCTTGGAGCCCCCAACTTTTGTGCTCTAAAGGGATTCCGCCCCTGCCACATAAAGACACAGCAGTCTCTTACTGACAAAGATCTTTAATAGAACGACTATACATAAACAGGGAATAAGAGAAAGGATATAGTTTCCCCATGAAACAACCAGTTTACCCATCCCCTTGTGGATAAATGCCCAGCAAACAGGGTTGGCCCAAAGCAGGGACACTGAAGCCCCAAAGCCTGCCACCAGTCTAAGGCACCTCCTGGCGGTGACCCATAGGGAAGGGGCAGGAAGAGCAGGCAAGCCTGGAAGGAAAGGAGCAAAATCAAAGCACAGGTCAAGCTAATGGCAGCCGTTGTCAGCCCCCCTCCCAGGTCTCTCACCCATCTCACTCTACCAGGTCTTCTCTACCTTCGCGACTCCATGTTTTTCCTCAGAGTCCCCCTAGTCCCTGGTGTTAAGTCCAAAGCCAAGAAGCAAGCAGGCCGTTTTTCTTTACACGTCTCTCTGCTCCACATATTTCCACCTGTGTTCTCTCCCCAGGCTTCTTCACATGTTCTCTCTCTTCTCTCGGCACTCAGCCCCACTCCTCACCAGGTAGAGCAGGGAACCTGGAACCTTCCCTTTTTATGGAGAGTCTAATGTCACTCAAGGACAACTTAATGGGAGGTTCTTGATATATAAAGAAAGAAGGGAAGGGGGAAGATTGGGAACCAGGATAGACCCTTCCAAGGCTTGCTCACATGCTGCTGTTGGCATCCAGTATTTTGTTTGTCCTTTATCCTATTGGGAAGGTGGGGCAAGTGATAGATTTTACTCCTCATTAAAGTGGACACAGTGAGACTCAGTGCCTCTGTCTTGCCTGCAAGTCATGTAAACAGCGAGGATCCAACTTTGCTACCTGCAGAGTCTCTTGAGTGGTTTCTGGAGTTTTATAGGTGCCTTGGAGCCTCACCTGGGCTGAAACATTTCCACTTCCCAAATTGGTGATACAAGCTTCCTCTGCAGGAGGATTCACACATGTGAATTCATACATGGTGGCACTTCTGAGCTTTTATCTGCAACGCTAGGAAATGTTCAGTAAGAATAAGTGATTGGAATTTTGGTTCTCTGTCTTTCATAAGGCTACAGACTAGGAGAAAATCACATGAAATTTTGCAGCTTTGAAATAGATGTGTTTTAATTTAGGACAAAACGGCCAAAGTCCTGAACTCATCAGTTTGGGAAAGATCTTAAGTATAAAAAGCATAAATTTGATATGCAACTGGAAAAGATATTCTGTTTTCTTTCTTTGACTCTTTCTTAAATCGTCCCTTTAGGGTCATTTAGTGTTTGCTATGTTTCTGAGAACTGGGGTGATGAGAGCCCTATTTTTTTTTTTTTTTTTAAGATTTATTTATACAAGCACTAGGTATAGTCAGAAGCGCGGGAGGGTGAGAGAATTCACCAGAGCCAGAGCGGGGAGCAGAGCAGGCAGAAGGACCGAAGGACACTGCTGAGGGGAGCAGCGGGTGGCAGGAGAGGTCTGCGTGCCATGTGGGACCCTCCTCCGGCGGCCGGGGTGCAGCTGGGGATTGAACAGGCGCTGCAGAGGCTGCGGGCAGCTTTGCAACCCAGGGCTCAACCGCTGCGCCACCGGGGAGGCCCGAGAGCCCTATTTTAAAGCCATGGCTGTACTTTTCCTGCCTTCAATGAAAGCAGTTGACAGGAGGCCTGAGTAGAACTGATTTATTTATAGTTAACTCTCCCACCGCCCTTCAGAAATAGTTAACCTACTCTAGATGTGTGAGCCCAACCTGCAGGGGCATCTCCCCTCTAGATTCCATCAAATCCACAATATCAGACTCACTAAAATGGGAGTAGGTGTGGGTCTGGGTCAGTAAATCAAGGGGTTGTCTAGTTTTCTCAAGGATATGCTGTCAGAGCCTCCAGCTGTGCGCGGAGCTTGCTCAGACAGGAGTGGGAGGGCTGAGGAAAGAAAGTGCTGGCTTGGCCAGATGCCCCTGCCTTAGTTTAATAAAGTAAGCAAAGAGAGGAAGGAAGCCCGCGCGTGGGGTTGCGCAGGCGGTGCAGGGTACCTTGCAGAAAGCAGCTTCTTCTGTCACCAGCTGCGTTGCTGTTCTTACCTGTAGCCAGATAAGTGATGATTCTGTCACCCAGGCGGGCTGCACTGTCTAGCTTGGAAGTCCCACCTAGTGATTCTTGAGCATAAATCTGAAGTAGCACCTGTCTGGTTTGAAGAGATTGGCCCTTTGTTTTGAATCTTCTCTTTGGAAGCAATTTCTCACCAAATCCGGGTGCTGTATGAGGGAAGGAGTTCATTGTCTTAGCTCCTTGCGTCCGGGCTGCCTGCGCATTACTGCGTGTTCAGTGTCACTTGTCTCCCTCTTTCACGGACATCAGCAAAGCCCTGTCCTCTCCTCACAGAGTCCATAAGAGTGACTTTCGTGTCCCTCTCACCTTGCCCCTTAGCAGACCTCAGCCTGACATCTGGAGGCCTGTGGAGCGGACACATGCCCTGCCTTACCGCTGGCGCTCTGCCAGATGTGAGCATGTGCCGGGGCACGGAGACTGAGGCAAGCGAGCTCTGGCGTGGAAGGGGACAGGCCAACAGCTGTCTCTTCTTGGGTTTCCGGCATGTGACACCAAAACCGTGTCCTATCTGTGATAAGTTTTCAAAAACTAAATGTAATATAATCCTAAAATCATGTTGAAGAATGAAATGTTTTCTCATTTTTCTGTAATGTGACTGGAAAGATTATACCCCACCACCTTATCAATATGTCATAACTATATTTACCCGGTCCCTTTTGATGCTTCATTTTTGTTTTTAATTTTCTATCTTTGATAACATGAGTAGCAACCTCAGATGTTTTTCTTTTCTGCATAGACCAAAACCAGACCTAGAAGAGAAAAGAGAGATAGTAGGGAGCCCCATGGCCGTTAACAAACAATGGATGAGAAAAACAAGAAAGTGATTTAAAGTGGGTTTCAGGGCCTCCCCTGGAGGCGCAGCGGTTGAGCGCTGGGTTGTGAGGCTGCCCGCAGCCTCTGCAGCGCCAGTTCAATCCCCGGCCTCCGGCGAGGGCCCAACCAAAATAAATAAATAAATAAATAAAGTGGATTTCAGCCTAATAATAAGGTTGAAAAACAAGACTTGTTCTATGAAGTCTAGTCCGAGTGGCGACTTAGCTGCAGCAGAGCTCCAGATGAGGATGGTAGACTTACCTGGAGTGCCTGTGAATCTCGGTCTAGATTTTGAAGCTGGATGGAGAAGGCATGGGTTGGTGGGAGCGCCAGGAGGAACAGGAATCAGAGCTATGGGTAAAATGGGGTTGAGTTTGCTGGAAACCCCTAGGTTCTCAGGGAAGTTGTTCTTGCACTGTAGTAGGCTGCAGGATCTCCTGAAAAACCTGCTAAATAAAACAGATGGCTCCCACTCCACTCCAAGTTTCAGATTGAGTGGATCTGGGGTGGGGTCCTACAAGACACATTTCTAGCAGGTTCCCAAATGGCGTTGATGCTGCTGGCCCAGGACCATAGTTTCCGTGGCATTGGTTCACATGGTGTGTCCTTGTCCCCAAGTAGAGAAGGCTCTCCCTCTTCCCCATCTAGTTCCTTTTCCTGACTCATGGGCTGAGGTCTAGAGATCTGCTTGGATCTACATCTGTCTCGGCTACACAGAGCACTCAGGGCTGCCGGTACCTACACGGCAGTGCTAGCGCGCAGCCTCCCTGTGGTTGTACCAGCTGCTGCAGGTGTCGCTCAGCTGTAAACACTGACAAGCAGCACAGGGCTCTGCAGGCTGCAGAAGCACCAGCTCTGCAGCACAAAGCTTCAAAAAGATACCAGGTTAACAGTCTGGCTCAACACTGTGCCCTTTAACTTCCAGGTTGTGGAATGTTTCTCTGGAATTTGAAGGTCTCCCCTGCCCCCCAGGAGGCCTTCTTGGCTTATTCTCCCTTCATGCTCCCACTGCCTAGATAGAGACTGAAGTATGTGTGGAACTTAGACATTTCAGCTTCAATTTAAGTAAGTTCAAGCTTTTGAAAGTCTTGTTTTCAGAGACATCACTTGTAGGTCACACTTGCGCGAGCGATCTGCTGCCCTGCCCTAAATCCCAGACCTTCCCCTGAGCAGACTCTGCCTTGGAATTGCAGTGTACCTAGAGTTGCTCCTATGGAATCGAGCTGGGACATCTAGGGTCACTGGCAGCCAGGGAATGAGGAAAGCTGAGTTAGATCTGTGGTTGAAGAGGTACAGGAAGAACCAAAGAGTTTGGGGAGACTGATGGTCACATAGAAAGGGGTATGAGTAGGTCCCCATGGGGAGGATGTGCAGGGAATATGGAAAGATGAGCTCAGGGATGTGGCTGAGGCAGCGGGTGGATCAGGTTATTTCCTTTGAGCACCCCAGACCCTGCCTAGAGACAGACCCCGTGCCTGTTCACGCACATCTGTGCGGCCCCCCAGTGGGGGCGCTGGGGCGTCTGCACACCTTGTTTCCTGGGCACAGTCCTCCCTGCCTCGCCTACAGTCCACTCTCACGGCTTCAGCTTTTATGAATCAAAACCTGCCTGCCTCCTTTCATCACACAGCTGAAGGGAGGCAGTGAGTAGGATGGGTTTTCAGAGTCTGCAGAAGTTTGATCTGGCAGCAGATCGAGGCCGTGTTGAATGTTTTGGCAAAGTCATCCTGCGTACCCCACCTGTCATTTATTAGTGCCTCCAGTTCCCTTCCCCTGGTTTCAGGGGCCACTTTCAATCTCCCTGAGGTTTGCTTCAATGACTCAGTAGCAGAAGGTCCCAGGAAAATACAGTGGTGGGATCTTGTTACAACATCAGGATAACAAGTTTTGATTCCATTTCTGGTATTTTAGTTCCATGCCTCCCAATTAATATTTAAGTATAATTTTCTAGTAAATGGGTCATTATAGGTGCAGAGTAGAAAAATTTCCTCATTTTTCCAACTGGAGGTTGATTCTTGATTTTTGGTTCTCTTTTTTTATATCAGCTATACGTCTTAATTTTGTATAAAAAATAGTACAGATTAACACATATGGCTTAAAATTTTTTATAATAAAAGAAAGGATATAACAAAAATTAAGACCTATTCCCAAGAGGCAACTGCTCTCAACCCTTTTCAGCATCCTTCTGATATTTCTCTATTTGCCCAGAAAATACTCATATTAAATGTTATTTTGTGATTTTTTTTTCTCATTCATAAACATTATCTTTTTACTTCCTTTGAGTTGATTTTTCTCCTTTTCTCTTCTTTTCTACATCTCTCTTCTCCCATGTTACCAATAAGGCTATATTTTCAGTCTTCATTAAAGCAGCATTTATTTTATGCATTATTAGGAGCATAAAGTAGTTTTCAATTAAACTAAGTAGCGAACTTTATTTCTGTTTTTATACAATAAAAAGTTGTGGAAATTAAAAAGATTTCCAGGAGTTAATAGCGTCATCTTTTTTTCCCTCTCCATTTTCCATGTACCTGTCACTAATTTTTACTAAATTCTCTAACAAAAGAGTAAAATGGTCAAATACAAGTAAACTCTAGGACTTGCCTCCCTCCTGCCTGCCCTCTCTCTTCTGTCGCCCTCCAGCTGCAGCTCCGGTCTGGACTGATGCTCTGTGTGTCTCCTGTACTGTGGTCATCCCACATCTCAGTTCATCCTATTCTGCAAATTGCCTTTTTCTCCCTTTGTTGAATTCTTTGTCTCCAAGTTCTAACATCTTCCTTTTTTTTTTGAGTTTATTTTGTCCAGTTGCTTCCCAGGAAAGGAACTATTGAGATAAAATTTGCTGTCCACTTGTATGTCTGAAAGAATATTTATTCTGTTTTATGTTTGCTTCATAGTTGGGCTAGTGTAGAGTTCTGGTTGAGGTGGCTTTCTTCAGAATGTTGAAAACATTGTTCCATTGTCTTCTAAACTTCCCATTTTAACCTCAGAATGAGATGTCATTCTGATTCCTGGCCCTTGGCCTGGGAAATTCTGTATTCAGAAATTTTATGATGGTCTGTGCCTTGCCTTGTTCTGAATGGCTTTTTATTCACTGGTTACTGATGTGCACCGTTAAAAAACTGGAAATTCATATTCAGGTCTGAAAAAAAATTTTTTTTTAATCTTTGTTTTCTTCCCTTTTTTCTCTCTCTCCTCATGGACCTTTGGTTGCCTAGATGATGAACATACTAGATTGTTTCTTGGTTTTTTGTCTCTTCTCTCCTATTTAATATCTTCTTGGTTTAGTGGTGTATGTTTAAGTTTCTTAGATATGTTCTCAATCTTCTAAACTTGTTTATTTTTAATTTTTCTTGATTTTGAATTAATGTTTTGTAAGCTTATTGTTGTTTAAGGATGCAGTATTTTTCTAAAGATACAGTATTTTGTCTTCATTTCTCTTTACTTCTTTGTATTGTTTGCTTCCTTTGAAGTCCATTTTTAGTTCCTTTCTTTGTTTCATATCAGAAACCTCTTTCAAATACTTGATGATTTCTGGTGGTCTGTTCTTTGTAAGGGTGAGACACTGAAAGGTGACTGGCCGTTCTCTGTCCGTGGATAAAGCTTGTTGACAGATGGACTTTGCCTAGCTTAAGAGGAAAGGGACCTAGTCATATGCCCAAATGTTGGTATTTATGGGTTATTTCTGTTGGTTTGGCTCATGCATCCAGAGAATAATCTTTCTTTCTCTTGGGTGGGCAGCAAACATTTTGGGACCTGAATGGGGAACAAAATGGGTTCCCACCCTTCACTTTATAGACTTACTTAAACCGCTGTATTTGATATGGTGCTTTGTGTCTCTGAATGTGGACTCTGTCTAACTCATTTTCTCCAGAGAGTAAACCTCCCTCTGCTGAGGTGGTGAAGGGAAAGGAGGCTCTGCAGAGGAGAATGTGTTACCTGCCTGTGCGTGTCAGGTTAAGGAAGCTTGGAAGTAACTGCTCCATGTTCCTGTTTTCAGAGCCCCTCCTTGGACACCTAGTACCTCGTTTCTGAGTCTGTTTATTGTCATCTTTGGAAGGTTTAGCTTTTTTCACTTTGCTCGATAATTTATGTTCCTCTGTCTGCCTTTTGTTTGCTTGCTTGCTTTCCTAAGCAGATCTAAATTTCTCTATTTTTTTAACTCTTATTTTGACACAATTTGAGCCTTAAAGTTCCAGAAAGCAATAGTTTCTGACACTCTTCACTCATATTTCTCAACTGTTAATATTTACCATGTTACTCTTCTGTGTGTGTGTATGTGTGTGTGCATATACTTAAACGCACATTCATTTATTTTTTCCTATGCCATTTGAAAGCTGCAGATGTGATGCACCTTTACCGCTAAACACTTGGATAGAGTCATAGTACTGTTGTCAGAATCATCTGTAAATAAACATTGATGCAATGATTTTGTCAAATATTCTAATAATGTCTGTTAGGACAAAAGAAAATCTCAGGCCATGTGTGGCATTTAGGTGTCACGTCTCTTTAACTTCCTTTAGTCTAGACCAACTTCTGTCTTTGTCTTGCATGACACCAATATTTTTGAAAAGACTGTCACTTGTTTTGTTCGATGTACCTTGATTTGGATTTGTCTGGTATTTTTGCATCAAGCTAGGCACTTAATTTCAAATTATTGATATTCACATTATGCATTTTTGACAGAAATCACAAAAGTTATGTGTCTCGGTGTATCATATTGGAGGACACGTGATGTCAATTTATCCTGTAACTGGTGATGATAACTTCAATCACAGGTCTCTGCTGGGTTTCTCCAATGCAAAATTACTGTTGTTCTTTTAATGTGTCTTCTGGGGAAATATTTTGAGACTATATAAATATCCTGTTACTCCTCAAGCCTTCACCCTGAAGTTTTAGCATCCACTTGCTTGAATCAATTGTTATAATGGTTGCCAAATGGTGATTTTCTAATTCCCATTCTCTATCTGCTCTTAAGAGTTATTTTTCTTCTCTAACCTGGGGGTTCATGTCTTTAATCAGTTTTGGGAAATTCTCAGTCATTTTCTCTTTGAATATTACATATCTGCCATTCTCAGTAATCTCTCCTCCTTGGAACCCTATATCCTACATAGGAATCCAGATAATCCTGTCTGTATGTCAGACCTCTTTCATTCTGTCATTATGTCTCTAAGACTTTTTCCCCACACATTTTCCATATTTTTGTCTTTTTAGCATGTTGGTTAGTTGTTTTTTTTTCCCCCCACATCAGTTTTTCTGTTTTCTTAAGCTGTGACCTATCTGGTTTTTACCCATCCACTGAAATTTAAGTTTCTAGACATTCTGTGTAATTATTTTTCAAATCTCTCTACCTGGTCTTTTATTTTTTTTTTTTCATGTTTTCAGCTCATTTTTTTCTATCTTCAATTATTGCAGACATTTACTTTATATTCTCCAGTTAACCCATTTT